CACGTGTTGGAAGTTATACTGCGCGGGACTGCACCTCTACACAGCCATGATTTTTAACGACTGAAAAAAAAAAAAGAGAAAGAGAGGTCATGAAGAAAATCAAGGAGGCTAAACATGAACCAGTGAGCTGTGAGAGCGATTTGTGAAGCGCAAAAGATGGTAGCGTATGTGTTTAGAAATCGAGGTACTTGTGTACGTTCAACGCGTTCATAAGGGAAGCGTGGCGGACGTGGAAGTGCTCTCTAAACAGTTAGTTAAAAGCTGCCGCGACAACACCGCGAATATAGATAGCCCAAGTGCGAGGAACGCCTCGAAGAAAATGCTGCGCTGAGAAGGAATTCACTTGCGCGTATACGACGACCATTAGACGTACGAAGTAGGGACGAAACCAGGCATCTCAGTGCCGATGATCGGGGTGGGGGGGTGGGTGAACGACGGGAGGATGCGGAACTCTCCGACGGCTCAATTACCGCACGCCTGTAAGACAGACAGATTGAGCTGCAACAGCTGCTTAGCGGCGCTCTGTCGCGATACGAATCGGTAGAGCCCTTGGAGAACACGATACCGAGGTTTCGACATCTCGCCTCGCTGCGACAGCGCGACAAGTATAACCGAGTAACTATGGCGACAGCGCACGGAGACTTCACTTGCTTCATTCATAAGCAACCCGCCAGTTGATAAAGGTTGACCACCCTGTTTTTCGAGAGCATAACACTGGTGGCGTCTAACTTATCTGCAGGATCGAACACGTCCGGCAGCAAACACACCGCTACGGTATTTGAAAACTTTTTCTTTCTATTTTTTCTTCTTTCTTTTTCTTTCTCTCTCTTTCTTTCTTTCCAGGTTCCGATTTTCCGTTTGATCACCCATTGCGAAAGGCGGGGCAACAATGATCAGCATCACCATAATCATTCTCAGTCTTGATCTCCCCCTAGCAACGAAGCCGGAACATATGCCTTCCACACGGAACGTAAGCACTTTGCTAGCAATCCCGACACCAACGCGGGTCAGGACAATTTCCTCGCCAAAAGTTTTCCAGACGTCGGCCAAAAGACTCCCCCCCCCCCCCCAGCAGATAATTGTCGGTCGCACTTCCGTAATAACGTCAAGACAAAAAAAAAAAATCTGCCGCTAAAGGCCTATTTATTACTCGCGCCAAATAAAGCGGCTACATCCGGACCTGCAACCGTCACAAAACAGATCCTGCGACTGGCTACAAATGCGCGACAGCGCACGGTGCAATTCACCTTGAAGGTAGCAGCCGGCCCATGCAGCTGAGAACGCCGGGGTAAATAAAACCTGCTCAGGAAGCGAACCATTGGAAAGCAATATAGAGATACGAACTCTGCGCACGCAGAACTTCGGGATCGCCAAGTTCTTCGGGCAAAGCTCTCGGAATCGAAAGAACCCAAGGTCTTCCGCGCCACCCGAACACTGCCCCGGGGCTACTTTCGCACGGCCTTCTTTCGACGGCTGTGCCTGAGCGGGCACGGCGCGGCGTTTTGCTACGATTACCGATCTTTTTCATCGGCATAAGCAGGCAACGCGCCAGCGGTTCCGGACCCGTCAGGTCAGCGGCTGCAGAAAACCGTTTTGAGCGAGCTTCTGTAGTAACGCAGTGAGAATAAGAAGCGCGCGGAAGGTGATAGATAGAGAGATAAAGATGCAAGGAAAGGCAGGGATGGAGTGCTTCAACGAAGTACCTATGCAGCACTATTTATAGGCACTATAGACGTCGTCACACCGCGATGTTGCGGATGTCGTCAGATTAAGATAGTCGCGAAGGTCGCACTTGTGTAATCGTTACGCTGGCGCAACTGTACACAGGAAGTGGCGAGCGCCAACCAAAAGCGTTACATGCAGGGACAAGCATGCTTAGACCGACTCATGCGCAAAACGCGTCTCGACGTGATCCCCGAAAACGAAACTATCGGGCTGACTTCTAGCCGACGCAGTCTCTTAATCTGGCTTTCTTATCTGATCAGGCGTTTGGAGAAAGACGCTACTCGGAAACAGTAACCACTGACACGAGGGTGAGCTAAAAGTGCCAATGAAGATACAGTAATCGCAATTACACAACAGAACACGGCGTGTCTGCATAAGCGAAGCTATAGTCGCAGGTCAAATCATTTACGCGTGCCATGAACTGCGGACAGGTTCGTTGTTCGGAACCTGGTGCCCTAGTTATTGATGAAACTGCACTGCTCAGTACGATGTTGCAGCTGAGTTGTTGGCGAATAGGATGAAATATCTGCAGTTTCAACACAACCTGGAGTCCGATGTGTACAATCAGTACATGTGGTTATAGATCCGGCTACACAATGATAACATATGCCTAAAGGTCGCTTGCTTAGCGCATTGCGAAGCTTATTGGTCAGTACTTTGTTGGTAGCGTACATGAATGCAACTTCGTTGACGGTGTACTTAAAGCCCACTGCGCAGAAGCGAAGACGCAGCGGTGACCTGCAGGGCAGGAGATACCGAATAAAGCATTTAGGGGGCCCAACAGCGTTGCCGCAAAACAATGCGCTTCCCGATTCGATGCGTACAAAGCTCCCAGCAGGCATCGTGAGGTGCTCGGAAATTTGAAGACAAGGTGAGTGGTCGAAGCAAACCATCGATTTTTCATACGAACAACGAAAAACTGTACGAGTGATCATCGCAATGCTCGTTAAAGATGGAGCTAGACCAACAAAGTGCCGGAAACTCGCTTTGTGCGATGACGTCGAAAGGGAAACCAACCCAGACGGACAAGCGCCAGAGAGATCGATAACAACGTTTTATCATAGGAAAGCCACACAAAATTGGCCAGTACCACAAGGTTGATAAGGGAGCAACATATTGTCCACGATAAACGACGCGGAAAAAAAAAAAATACGTGTTGACGTCGCCTACTGTCGAGAGGGAGAGAGAAATCGTCGAGCTACAACAAGGACGTTTGAACAGCTGCGGTCGGAAACACACACCAATGACGCGGCACTCCTCGGAGGAGCTTTTCGCGGCCGTTTCTGAAGCATAACAAGTGCTGTCGTTTCACAGAGAGGGCAGCTCTTCGACAAAGCGCCGGCTGGTTATCGAGCGCAGGCCGCAACGCTTAATCGAACGCGTCACTTAATTGGGTTAGCACGCCACCACGAGCAACTATACGACGAGTACTGCATGCCCTTTCCGCGAGGCGCCTGCCACGACCATTTCGGGTTGGCCTCGGTCTGGCGAAGCTCTGGAAAAAACCAGGCCGCTCGCTGCGCAGTAGGGCAAGAAAGACGGCGCTACGCACGTATTGCCCGATCCACCTCTTCGAGGCCGCGAGCATCAGTATAGGGCGCCAAGGCAGGAGAAAAAGCGCAAGACTGCCCGTCTGTGGCTAGAGCAACGTGACTACAGCAAGCACCCGAACATGTATCAAATGACTAAGAACGACAGATCGCTCGCCAGTGCTTTTCTTTTTTTTTTCAGCGCGAAACGGCCGAGAACATCGTGACACAGCAAGACAGACGAGCGCTTACTTCCAACAGTTTATTTTGAGCGTCCAAGCAATATATATATTATATATATATATAAATAAAACAGAATTATAATAGGTAATGGAATATATTAATATAAAAATCACATCAGGCAGGCAAGAACACTATAGCTGTAGAGGTAAAGAGGACACCATCACTTGGACGCTCAAAATGTACTGCTGTAAGTCAGCGCTCGTGCCTGCCTTATTGTATCTCGGTCGTTTCGTCCTCGTCCATCGAGAGCCTCAAGAGAAAGTGGCTAAACATAACGAACCAAATCATTCGCAACAGTCCTGTTACGACAGGTCATGTGACACATATTCCTGCTTCTCTAAATGCCAGGTCGTGAATAACCTCCCTGAGCAATGAGAGCGTCCCTGGGGGAGAAAACCGAAGCGCTTCCAGGGGCAGTACTCTTGCCAGTGAGAGGCCCGGCATCCGCTAGATAGACTCCTCAAGAAAAACGCCGCCGGAGGGGACGGAGGGAGGCACTGCCTGGGGACGCGATAAGGGCTCGGAACGAGCCGGAAGTGAGGCTCAGAGGCGACACTCCCATTGACTGCTTTGCTGGGCACGATGCGAGTCGGCCGAAGAATGCTACTCGCATTGGGGTGCAGACTCTCGCTGAGCTGCTAATCGCTAGGCTGCCACTAAGCGCGGGTGTTGCTACAGCATACTCTGTCTCAATGTTATACAGCACTGTAACACTAGTAATCAACCGCAGTTCAGCTTACAGCAGCCGCTAAACCAGGCTTGGACTGGGGACCAGACGGCCGACAACTATAATAAGGGCAGCTGCTGTAGTGGAAATTTACCGCCTCCGCCAAAGTTCTTTGTAGTTAACAACGACGGGCACGTCATAACTGAAAACGGGGTTACATTCAGGCTTTGTGGGAAAAGCCTTTATGAACAATGGCCGTTCTCGCTACACGCTCTGCAAAGGTTTACATTCTACGAGAACTGCCGCGAAATAATGGGGCAAAAAGCGCCCGAGTTTGGGAAGCGAGCCAAATTTATGAGGCGATATGTAATACTTCTGCTTCTGACATGAGCAGCGCACAAAGCAGAATCGCGTCCACGAGGCAGCAACCGGCTTTCAAGCTAGTTAGAGAAAACGGTCAACTTTTTGAAACATTAGCGCGAACAAAAATGATTGACCTAGTTCATTTCGTTCATGGGGCTCAATGCGACAAGATATGAAGTTCGCTTCTACCAACGATAATAATCTGTGCGGTGAAAAATCGGGCCGTACTGCAAGTAGCCATCTTGTGGCCCACTTATGTTTGAAAGCCAACGATTTTCATTACCTTGACGAAGACACACTCGCACTAATGCTCACGTAGTAATAGTGGGACTGTGGTATTGTCCGAATCAAAATAGATATTGGCAACAGACTAGTATGAATAACGGAGGCTCACAAACTGCCGGCGGCGTCAGAGCGAGGATTTGAAAACACCGGCTCGCCTCGCAAAGTGGGGCCGTCAGGTCTCCACTTACCCATCCTTGGTGGTCCTTTATCCAGGGAAGAAGCCTCGTACAGACGTACGAGGACAACCAGGATGCGATGCTGTCCACCAGTTCGGACCAGTTCTTCTCGACGCAGAGCGCCGACAGCTCCACACTGAACGCGAAGGCACCCACGATGCGTGCCCACGTAATCCCTTCGCTGAAGAGCTCGTTCAGCACGTCTGTGTACGCCGTCTGGGCCACGGAGGGAGTCATGTCGAGTCGGCCACACATCTGAGTGAACTCCTCGCGGTATTTGGTGACAAACTCATCCCCCAGCGTCCGCAGTACGAGAGACACTTTGGAAGGTCGCGGCAATGGCGGGCACGTATTCCACTGAACGCCGCGCCGGTTTAGCTGGTAACGCATGAAGTCGTTCACCAATTCGTTCACTTGAGTCTTCTCGGCCTCGTTGACGGCCATGGTGGCGACGCCGGCGGACACAGCAACGAGACAAACAACTGCACTGGGTCCTCAACCGCTCACCGGCTACACGATTCGTTGACTGCCGGCTCCCTCGACGCCGGCTTGAAAGCAGCTTACGCACACCGCTCCCCCTACGCGAACCGTCTGAGGCACGCTGCCGAGTTGGACGCAGTTCGCCGTCTGACGGTCGCCCGGCGAAACACGGTCGCAGTGGAGAGGGGGCGTATAGCAACGATCGCAGCGGCCGCGCAGTGATGGCGACGCCAGCGGCGCTCTGCTTTCTAGGCCGCCTCCGTCAAACACTGAATTTTTTTTTTCTACCACAGTAAAGAAGGCTACGTAGACCAACGTTTTTAGAACAATTGTTGACGTAGACAACATTTCTGGCTGATATAAAAGAAACAGAATTACTTCATTCAAAGCGACAATCACCGAGTAAGGGAAGCCGTGAAGATACCAGTATTCTGTTATCTATGTTGTCGCATATATTGTTCAGTGGCGATCAAAATTAAGCATGAAACACGATCAGTGATGCAGTCGCTATTTTTCGTGACTTGAACTATTTTCTCTCAATCCCGCTTTTTTATATATAAATTTTGGTCTGTGGCTTAGGCAACGAATCATCTATGTTTTATAAAAGAGGTGCTGCTTCACAGCTAGGATGTTCTGCTGATAAGTTGGGGACGAGGGTTCGAATCCCGGCCCCGGCGACCGCATTTTGCGAACTAAATGCAAGAACAACCGCGTGATTACATTTGGGCGCACTTTAAGGAGCACTTGATTGATGAAATTAACCCGTATATCATCACGGCGTGTATATATAATAGGCAGTTTTTGGAAGGGCTATGCAAAGATTTACGTTAGCGCTGGCTACTACACGTATGTGTCATACGCTATCCTCTTGAGTACGCACGTTAAGAAAAATCTCGTACGTAGTTCAATTACAAAAAAAAAAAAATGTCCGCAAGTGATTACAGCTCGTGCGAAGGTGCTCCAGTTGTTGAACGATAAATATCGGCTGAACCGTTGTGGTGAAGAACGCATATATTGTTGGTTTGAACTGCAACCATAGAATACGATCTACACTTTAACCGTAAGTGAGCGAAATTAGTGCGAGATCTCCTTTGGAGAATTACAATATGGATTCGTGTCCAATACACTTTGGGTTAAAATTTATTTATTTATTTATTTGCTTGTTTGTTGCTCTGTTCTTGTTTATTTATTTGCCCAAACATACGCCATGGAACTCACTTAGGCAGAAAGTGAGAATAAAAGAGTAATGCTGAAATACATGCCATGCTTAAATCGTAACCGACGACGACGACGACGACAACAACAACAACAACAACAACAATAATAATAATAATAATAATAATAATAATAATAATAATAATAATAATAATAATAATAATAATAATGTATCTGGGGTTCAACGTCGCAGGGGGGCTCCGGAAATTCAGATGATCCGCTATTCTCTGACATCACGAGCTCTAGCATTTCACCTCTTTCTAGATGCAAACAGGATATCTAAACAATGTAAATTTTGTATGCGTACTGTTCTCTATCTTTTATCTTCCTTTATTTTATTTTTTGTCGGCATTGTTAGCACTTCATGGTTCACCTGCCTCAGGCTCGTTTCATATGTCGAGCAAATTTTCGGGATCACTGAACTTTTTGGACAATTCTGTTAGGCTTATTTTTACTTATTTATCAGTATTTCTTTGTGTATATGTGCGCATAAATGATTGAATGACTGATTGAATAATCGATCGATTAATTGCGATGTAAGGGGCTCTGAATTTGAGCCCTACTGATGACACGCGCACTACTATTATATTGAACCTACATCATAATATGAAACATGTGTTCAAGCGGATTTTGTAAAGAAAAAGCCAAAAGCAAAATGCCAAGAATCTTTTTTTGACGAAGCCCGCACGTGTCACTTCTTTTTCACCTTTTTTGTCAATATCGTATGCATAAGAGAGGACGAAACACGATCAGCATTTCGTTCGTCTTCCGCCATTGTTAACGACTACGACTGCTACAAATTACACTAGTACTACTACTTCGATCTGCTTCTCAAGCGATAGTTTTCCTAACGCAAACAAAATCATCGTAGTTAATCAGTAGACCATGGCGACTCAAACGCCACGAGCACATTTCCGTCTGAAGGAAAAGAAAGAAAAAAAAGGACTCTTGACATCTCTATTCTTCGCTGTGCTTTTCAGTTTTCATTTCTTCGACATCCACTTGCCGAGTTAGCGCGTATTGTCTGTGACGGTAGCTCGTAAACAATGAAAGGCTTCTCGAAGATAGTTTGTACGCGCGCGCGAATAGAAATGGCTGCTGGCAGGGGAGAGAAGGAAAACCGGCTGCTGCCGCGCAATGCGTGTCTTGGCGACTCGAAACTTTTCCGCTCCGCCTTCTTCTTTTTCCTATACCTGTACAGTTTTCTTACCACTACTCACCTCCGCATTCCTCCTAGTACGGCGTCATTTGTGAAGAGTTCGGGGCGGGGCGTTTCTTGAAAAAAAAAGACGCGCATTTTGGACAGGAAACAGAAAGTACCTGGCACCGACAGCTGAAGAAACAGAGAAGTAACAATAGAGAAAAGTAGAGACTGATTGAGAGATACAAAAGGGTAGACGCAGAAGAAACCAGGAGCGTCAGAAAGGAAGCTAATCGTGTTCTTTAAAACGCTTACATCCGGCTAACAAGGACTCAAGGAGACAGCAGCGATATTAACCTTTTCCGACAGAGTAAATGCCGGTTACATAGTCACTTGCTCTGCTGCTGTATGTGCTACGTTGTAACTTTTTTTATTTACTTGCTGTTGTTTGTTCCTCTCAGAGCGACACGACGAACAGAGAGCTAAACTGTGGGCAACATCACTTTATCGGCTAACCGCGGTATGTGTATGTATGTATGTATGTATGTATGTATGTATGTATGTATGTATGTATGTATGTATGTACGTATGTATGTATGTATGTATGTATGTATGTATGTATGTATGTATGTATGTATGTATGTATGTACGTATGTATGTATGTATGTATGTATGTATGTATGTATGTATGTATGTATGTATGTATGTACGTATGTATGTATGTATGTATGTATGTATGTATGTATGTATGTATGTATGTTAATGTTGCCGCTTACGGGCGGGTAATGTCGCCCCACCCACTTGATACTGGTGGTTATATAGGCCCTGTCCTCGTCTTCATTGCGGCGTTCTGCTCTAGTGCAGCCGGATCGATTGGTTGATATGTGGGGTTTAACGTCCCAAAACCACCGTATGATTATGAGAGACGTCGTATTGGAGGGATCCGGAAATTCCGACCACCTGGGGTTCTTTAACGTGCCCCCAAATCTGAGAACACGGGCCTACAGCATTTTCGCCTCCATCAGAAATGCAGCCACCACAGTCGGGATTTGATCCCACGACCTGTGGGCCAGCAGCCGAGTACCTTAGCCACTAGACCACCGCGGCGGGGCCTAGTAGTGCCGCCCGAGGTCGTGGGTTTGGTTCCCTCGTAAAACTGCCGCATCCTCGATTTCTCGCTGTTTGCGAATGAAGATGGACAGTAAAAAAGCCATGAACTAAAACTGACATTGGTCTTCGCACGTAGAAAAGCATCCCAGCTGCCAGTATTATTTCGGAACTCTGGACCACGACGGTAACTTCCGCGCCGCCCTTACACTTGTGGTACGAAAAGAAGAGACTATAAGCACATCTAAAAAAAAAGAGCATGAATTATACAATTAAACTCTTCTAATTCCTCCCTCTCCGCCCCCCCCCCCCCGCTTTTTTTTTTTAATGCGAAATATGTTTTCAAGCAGCGGCGCTAATCCGTGAGTCGGCGCCGAGTTTCGAACCACCGGAGCATGCCCCATCGGGTCCGCGTCACGCGTTCCTTCAAGGGCGACTGTCATTGGCGCGCGAAACGACTGAGCAATTATCCGCCAGCTTTTCTTTTAAAGATGACGGGCGACAGTTCTCTAAGCCGCGCTGTGGTCTTTAAAGGATACCCAAGACACCGCCGCAAAGCCGTCGAGTCTGCATTATGCAGTCGCGGCTGCTCACTGAATGGTGGAGAGGGATTTTGAGAAAAGAAAGACGCAGGAAAGAAAAGGCGTAGTAAAAGAAGGACGGACATTGATTAAGAGCGGCCCTGATCGGTCGAGATTGCGTGAGCAGCACGGGCCGTGCTCTGCGCGTATAAAAGCCTCGGCCCCGGTGCGCTATTTGTAAAGCGGGATTCCGGCCGCTCGCGTCACGAGTAATTAGACGGCCCATTCGTCTGGCCGTTGTTCGTATAGAGATAGGAACCGCTCTCTGCGCGTGCTGCTACGCGAAGGCTTAGCAACGACGCACGCAACGCACTGAGCTCATCGCGTGGAACGGTGCTATCACAAGGACATTGAATCTAACGTTCGTAGAAAATGAAATGAATGGTAAAGACTATTTCAAGGCGGGAACAAGTACTACTTATTTATTTTATAGTACTTTATTTCTTTTTATGGGAGATCGGGTGATTAGCTTACTATTTTTATGTGGGTTGGCGCCTAATGATAATTGTTCCTCTCAGAAAAATGGTGTCGTTGTTCCAAACACAGGCCTCAATTTTTCTTCTAGCACAATAATAAATCAAGCACCAAACTCAAGAAGAAGCAAGATATGTGCAATATTTGCTTGATTTTGGAAAACCACTGAAGCAGCTTTATCTTATAAGTACTCATAGTCGTGCGCACGAAAGGGGGGGGGGGGTAGTCACCTAAAAGGGGAGGGTGTCCTTCGAAGCCCCCTGAAGGGGATTTCTGTGCACCTGTGTGTGTGCTGTTATTTTTATGCCACGGTCTCAGTTGTTCCTCTTCGGTAGCCAAAGGAAAAGTTATCGGCTGTTTTCTTATTTTCTTATTTCGACAAGTATTTTCCCCCATGCTTGCAAATAAAACTTTTTTTCCTCTATTTCTTCCACTGCTGTTTCGTGACTGCGAAGTCATCATCAGCAATGAACCAATGTTGGAGCAATCAGTAATGAACAGCAGGATTCCGAAACGAACAAACAACGAACAAAAAAAAAGGAAGGAGGGAACTTTCCTGCTCCGGGGCCCCGCCGGTCCTGAAAAACAGATCAAAACAAAACAGAGCTTAGAAAAA